CGCAGCGTGTGCATGAAGATGAACTACCTGGCGATGGACAGGATCGATCTCGTCTTTGCGGCGAAAGAAGCGGCACGATGGATGAGCCAGCCAACGCAGATCGCCATGGAGATGGTGAAGAGGATCGGACGCTACCTGCTGCGACGACCTAGGCTGGTGCAGCAGTTCGCGCAGCAGACCGAACCAGACCACCTGACTGCGGCGCGCGACTCGGACCATGCAGGTTGTGCGCTGGCGGGGAGGAGTACTACAGGCATCGCGCTGTACCCTGGCGCGCATCTGCCGAGGGCAAATTCGAAACCCCAGTCAGTGATAGCTCTGTCGAGCGGCGAATCGGAGCCCCATGCAATCGCGAGAGGGACAAGCGTCGGACGTGTCCATCGGGCCCGTGTCCTTCACCTCAGGCTGCGCTGCGCTAGATGATGCCGCCGCGCTCGACGCTGCTGCACCCAGCGGCGCCGCTGCGCTCGATGCCGCCGCCGCGCTCGATGGTGCCGCTCCACTCGCCGACGCCGCAAGTTGCCCTTGATCACCTCCCGGCGCCTCTGGCTCGACCGACTGGCGCTCGGCCGGCCTCTTCCTTCCAAGCCGCTCCTCGGCCATCTTCGCTCGCTGGTTCATCTCGAGATCATCCTCCATGGGCTTCGCGATCCTCGCCCTGCAGGTCTCGCTGTGACTGCGAGCTGGCCGTCCAGCCGCGTAGTCGTCGCAGCCGGGGCAGCCCTCGGTGCGACCGAACTTCTTAATCTCCACCTCGTTGCGGATGTAGACTCGCCGAGGCCCAAGGTCCAAGTGCTCCACCTGCCCCGGTGCCTGGCCGCAACGCCGGCGGCTCCACTGGTAGAGGCGCCTCGTCGGGCGCCTTCGCCATCGGGAGGCGCCCCCCGTCTCGGGCCGCCCCTGGCACTGGCCGCCAAGGTGACCCCTGCAGCCTCCTCATTTGCTCGCCGTCGTAGCGGGCGTCGCCGGCCTTCCGCCTGACTGCCCTGGCCCGCGCCACGCCCAGCTCCACGCCGATGCGCAGCTCCTGGCTCGTGAGCTCCACGCCCACCCAAGTAGACGCCAGTCAACCACTTGGCATCCAGCTTGTTCTTGTGCCCCCTGTTCCTGTCCGCTGGCAGGTAAAACGCCGTCTCGCCGAACGGTGGGAGCTCCTTGCGATACCTCTTGCCTCGAATCCTCCCGTACGCTGTGCGTCCATCCGCTCCCACCTCGAACAGGCTGAGCACCGCTCCAGCGTAGTTGATGAGCCACGGTGCGATCATGTGGTCGTGGCTGATCTGCACCCCATACTGGCGCTCCACCGCCAGCTTCCGCGTCCGCACGACGACACCCACGGACTGCGCCGCCCGCTCGATCGCGCCGTTCGGCCGGTGCTCGTCCACCGGGCTCACCTCCTTCACGAATCGTAGGTCTCGCCCAGACTCTCGATGACCTTGTTCTTCAGATCCAGGATCGCAGGCTCCTGGTCACTCTTGAAGATGAATTGCCTCACCCCCGAGTACCCGGTGGCCTCCGCCACCCGCTCGATGATCCAGGCCTCGCGGGCCCCCTTACTCGCCACTGCGATCGACGCCGTCCATCGCCCCTTGTGCCCACGTAGCACCGCCGTCGGCGCCGCGCGAGCATCGTCTCCTCCAAAGAACACGTAGTCTATGGAGATCGCGCGGACCAGGCGCGCTCTCTCAGCGCCCAACCTTCGAAGATCAGCACTGCGGCCGCGCCCTCCGACGCAGTCTCCGCGCCATGCCCTGAACTGCGCGTGGCCTGCCGCCTCGCGCGCCTCTCGCTCGGCCGTCGTCGGCTCGAACGGCCTCGGGGCCACTGCGACCCGCGGGCCCCCCATGTCTTCGTCTTCCTCCTCGACCTTCTGCTGGGGCTCGTCGGGCGCCGCCACTGCCGGCGCCCCCGCTGGCACTTCGCCCTCTGGGAGAGGAGAGATATCGCTTTCCTTGTCGGGACTTACTGCTGCGCATGCCGCCTGTTCGCCAACGTTGCGCTGAGGCCCAGAGCCTGGTTCACCTTCACCTTCTTGAGCTTGATACAGTAGACTCCACGCCGTAGATGAACAGGTAGAGCCACGCCACTCGCGATGCGCCTCAGGTAGCAACCCGTCGGCCCGGAATCAACCTCGTGGCCCTATCCAACCAGCTTCGACACAGCAGGCAGCATCCGGTGCGCAGCCGTCGGGGTACATCGGAGACGCCTCACATAGCCGTCCTCCGCCAAGACCTCGATGATCTTCTCTTCCTCGTCGCGCACCAGCTGGCCTTTGGCCGCCGGGTAGCTCGCGCCCGACTCGCTGGATATCGTCGGCCGCGCCGCCGCATCCGTGAACCACTTGTGCGGGGCGACGCTCTCCGCCGCTCCAGAATCCACCGCTGCATAAAAGAATTCGTCGTCCCCGTCCATCACGTACACAGGTCCAGCCCGCCGATACTCCCAGGCAGCTCGGTCTCTGGCTCCTGCTTGCCCCCGGCCTCCAGGCAGTTGGCACCGC